CAGATCGATTAATGCTGCTCTGAGGTGGCATAAATGCACTTTTATACTGTGATAGTAGAGGTTAAAGTGGGACAGAGCAGGCATAATCTAATCTGGCTTTAATGTGGCATTATGTCTTTAAACTGAATTTCGAGCAGGCACTGTGCAGCCTTAATTAGGCTGTGAAAAGATTTGGCATAAATAATGTAAATACAGTTTCATGGCTGATATTTATGCATTTCCTCATTTCACCTGCATTAGTTTTAGACCATGATTACAGTTTTGTTTATATACTCATATATAAAACCATGTTTATACTCATTCTTGGCATTAAGAATTTGAGTGCTTACCAAAGTACCTTTCATTTCTGCAGTGAATTAGTTATTGCAAAGTGTTTTCAAGGCCTGTTTCTCCCTCAGCTACATCTACTGGGCTGACTGGAACAGGGACGCCCCCAAAATTGAGATGGCTTACATGGACGGCACAAATCGGAGAGTCCTGGCCAAGGATGACTTGGGCCTCCCCAACGGTTTAACTTACGACCCTCGGACATCTCTGCTGTGCTGGGCGGATGCTGGTACGGCTTCAGTTCACTGAGAAACATTTACAAATGCAATAAAGTCACAGCTGTTTGGGGGGAAAACAACTTATTGTTTAACTCATGAAAGCCACAAGCTCCGTTAAACGCTTTGTTTAGTTGAAGCTTTAGTGTTAATGATGGTGTTTGGTGTTTCTGATGCAGGTACACATAAAGTGGAGTGCATGAATCCGCAGCAGGGCAGTCGGAGGCAGCTTATGGAGGGAATTCAGTATCCCTTCGGACTGACTACTGATGGAAAGAACCTCTACTATACGGACTGGACGAGGTGAACTTTCACTTAAACAACATCGCACTATAATGAGAAGTTAATGGACATTCATTGAGTGACAGGTCCTTAAAATGTTTTGAAAGAAGCCTCCTCTGCTCACCAAGGCTGCATTTATTTGATCAAAAATACAGTAAAAATTTGAAATATTATTACAATTTAAAACAGCTGTTTTCTATGTGAATATCTGTTAAAATGTAATTTATTTCTGTGATCAAAGCTGAATTTTCAGCATCATTACTCCAGTCTTCAGTGCCACATGATCCTTCAGAAATCATTATAATATGCTGATCTGCTGCTCAAGAAACATTTCTGATTATTATAAATCAAAATAGAATTCTTTTATAACATGATAAATTGAGGTCACTTTTGATTTAATGCATTCTTAATGGATACAAGTATTAATTTCTTTTAAAAAAATCATACTGACTGCAGATTTTAGAATGGTAGTGTATTGTAACAGAATAATAGGAATAATAACAGCTGGGTCTGGATATTCACCCAGAATCTGCACAGAAAATGCTAATTAACTGTTAGTTAATCAACTAATTAAGATTTCATCTGGTCTTGCTCGTGTTGTTTGGTTGTGGTTTAGGATGGGATAGCAAGGTCAAGGTTCAGTCTAAACCTGTGAGCTCAACAGCTCTCTGTTCTTCTGAGGCCTTGATGTGTCTGTGTGCTAGCGTGGGTTCCCTCAACAGCAGCATGCACTGATTTGGCGCTTTAACCCTAAATGTGTTTGCTATGCAGAGGTCGGGTCAAGAGGCCTGTTTTAAGGCTTGTGGCAGCTGCGTGTAATTTCACGGGCCGTCTAGTGTCTCTCTCTGATCTTCTTACAGCCTTTTGCTCTCTGTTAGAGGAGAATCACAATGGAGCTGTTATAGCAATTGACAATAATAAGCAGTACACACATGCAAAAGGTCAGGATGCACTACAATAATAAGAATTTGGGAGGAAAATATGCATAATTTTCATGAAAATGGTGCAAAAAATCTTAATAGTCCATACATGTATTAATGTGTGTGTGTGTGTGTGTGTGTGTGTGTGTGTGTGTGTGTGTGTGTGTGTGTGTGTGTGTTTTAAAGAGGTCTCTTCTGCTCACCAAGGCTGCATTTATTTAATTAAAAATACAGCAAAAAACATAATATTGTGAACTATTATTACAATTTAAAATGAGTGGTTTTATTGTAATATGTCATTTATTCCTGTGATGCAAACCTGCAAATATTAATTATTATTTAGTTAATAAAATAATGATAATGTAACTAATACTTTTATGCATCAAGGATGCATTAAATTGATCAAAAGTGACAGTGAAGACATTTATAATGTTACAAAAGATTTCTATCTCAAATAAATGCTGTTCTTTTCAACTTTCTATTCATCTGTGAATCCTGAAATATAAAATGTATCACGGTTTCCACATGATTTCTGAAGATCATGTGACACTGAAGACTGGAGTAAAAATGACATTTTAACGTATATTCACATAGAAAACAGTTATTTTAAATGGTAAAAATATTCTACAGTTTTTACTGTATTTTTAAATAAAATAAATGCAGACTTGAATGAGCAGAAGACTTCTTTCAATTAATTTTTCATACATACATATGTATCACAAACATAGTGTGTTCCTGATGGTTTGTGTGTTTGTGTTGAGCAGGGGTGCTGTAGTTGTGGTCGATCGATATGCGAGGCGAGAGGTGGACGAGTTCCAGCCCCAGAAACGAACACGTCTGTACGGGATCACCACAGCACACGCTCACTGCCCGTCTGGTAGGATTTCTCTCTCTCATGTGCTTTGGTTCTTCATAAATGATGTTAGTTTTTGATGCTCAACATTTGTAAACAACTGGACCCCAGAGCAAAGGTTCAAGGTATCATAATGCCTGAAACAAAACACATTTGTGCCATTATTGCAGCTAATGTAAGATATTCACTGTTTCCCATCAGGTCAGAACTACTGCTCGAGCAATAATGGCGGCTGCACTCACTTATGTCTGGCGACAGCTGCTGGGCGCTCGTGCAGGTGTCCGGATAACGCTGTGGGACTGGGCTGTGTGGAGCGAGAAGGCTGGAACTGAAGATTTAAAGAGACGTGAGCAAACCTCCGGTGATGAAGGACATGGCAGTTCCGTCTGAATGCTTCTGTTACACCATGTCTTGCCTGAAAGATGCAATAAAGCCACACTAAGTATTAAAGATTTTTAAATGCATCTGTGCCTTGAATATGATCATGGTGCTTTAAAGATCAATTAAATGTTAATGAGGTCATGTGAATATAGTTTCATGTCTTTTCCAACAATTTTCAGCAAAACTAACATTCTTACCCCAATACTGAGAGTATCCTTTTTAAAAGATAAAGAAATGATACGATTGTGAAATAACCTGACATAAATCGATGTTTACACATACATCTTTTCAATAAAATCATATTTTGTTTATTTAGCCTTGTCATTTTTATATATTCTTATAGTGCTTAAACTCTGTTATTACTTAGACTCATACTGTGATAAAGTCCTTATAATAATAACCACCAGAGAGCAGCAACAGCCTAAAAATCATATGAAAATGTTTTTTTTCACTCCCCGAACAAAGCATAAGATTGTCTAGTTATTATTTTCTTACTGTTTCTTATCTCTTTGACTGTGTAGGTCATTAATTACATCATAACATTTTTAAAATTGGTTATTATTCTTATAATTATGATTGTTTATTATTATTTTACATTTACCAATTGTGTTATCAGGTGTTCTTGCCACTGAAAAATACATATATTTCTGTAGATATTACTGTAATAACCGGAAATGTAATACATTTAAATTAATTGAACAAAAATGATCAAATATGTTTTTTTTTTTAACAGAAATAAGCATCACGTTCTAAAACAGCTTTTGTGGATTTATTTTTTAAATTAAACTAAATTTAATTTAATTATTTTATTTCAATTTACATGACTTGATTTTATTTTATTTTATTTTATATTTCACTTGACTTGACTTGATTTTATTTTATTTTATTTTATATTTCACTTGACTTGACTTGATTTTATTTTATTTTATATTTCACTTTACTTGACTTGATTTTATTTTATTTTATTTTATATTTCACTTGACTTGATTTTATTTTATTTTATTTTATATTTCACTTGACTTGATTTTATTTTATTTTATTTTATATTTCACTTGACTTGATTTTATTTTATTTTATTTTATATTTCACTTGACTTGATTTTATTTTATTTTATTTTATATTTCACTTTACTTGACTTGATTTTATTTTTTATTTTATTATTTCATTTTATATGTCACTTGACTTGATTTTATTTTATTTTATTTTATTTTATTTCATATTTCACTTGATTTTATTTTATTTTATTTTATATTTCACTTTACTTGACTTGATTTTATTTTATTTTATATTTCACTTTACTTGACTTGATTTTATTTTATTTCACTTGATTTTATTTTATTTTTAATTTTTAAAAACTAATCAAATCAGTAAAACATTTACAAGTTTTCTTTAGAACAGTTTGCAACCGTTGAAGTTTGAGACCTTTAAAAGTGCTCAAAGGAGAAGTATATTTCAATTATAAATGTAAAGTTAAATACATCTTGAGATGGAAAAATCAGATCAATACATTTCATAATATTATACATTTATGTTTTGTAATATTATGCAAGTGTGTTTTATAGTATGGGGGAAATTCTAATAATTAAAGCTAAAATTGAAAAAGAATTTTCACAATGTTTAGACAGTGAAAAAATATATAATCAGAAATAAAACAACTGGACACAGACTTGCATGAAAATTTACAGAACAAAATAGGAGTATGACTTGTATGTGCAATATATATATATATATATTATATTTGACGTTTAATACATGAAAAGGAGGACTTAAAATAATGACCCGCAGTGGCGTCATCACGTTAGCCCCGCCCACAGCGGGAACACGAACGTAAGCGCCTAAGCCCCGCCCTTACGGGGGGGCGGGGGGACACGAATGGCGTCATCCGAATGACTGGCGAGAAGAAGCATCCTCATAGGCCACTGATTTGAATGACACTCTTTTCAATCAATAGCCGCTTAGGATTCTGTTTTGTGGGCGTTATTTCCTGTACTGTTTTGCATGTAATTTTTTTTCCTTCTAAATTGCTTGTGTATATGTTAGAAGGAAGACCTGAAGCGAGGTACGTATATTGTAATTGCATTTAGACCTTGCGTTCAAATGAATAATATTGATATGATGATTAAACATGTCCGGTTGGCATTCGTTCTACCTCATATTTGATGTAACTAAGTTAAATCAATGAGTGTTAGCCTAAGCTGTGCTGCAGGAGATTCTGCGTCTGCCGCTGCGTGAAATGATCCAGATTCACGCAAACATAAAGTCTATTTAGTCTAGTTATTGCATTTTTGCTGGTTCATTTACGCTGATGTTGACGCCGAAGCTAATATAAGCCCCAACTTGTGTTCAACGCGAAGCGGTGCACTAATAGTCTTCTTCATGTGTCTGCTTGCAACTGTAACTTGACAGCTAACTTACTGTCAGCCAGACTGGAATAAACGGACTTGAATGCGAACTAGAGCCCAATTCGCGCCAGCCGTCAATTCAAAAGTTCTATGTCATCTCTAGACAGTAACGGATTTAACGGATTTCACGTCTCCTAATCCGGACGGACGCCTAATGAAATGATGTGCTGTTCCCGCTCACGCAGCTCGGATTTCTCCGCTGGATTTTAGAGCTTCGGTCGCTGCTGTGGATGAACCGGAGCCGGTGGCGGTCAGCTGGACATGGCCAGCTCACACCTGGCTGATCTGTCCCAGGCCTGGGAGAACTACATGGACTGCCGCGCTCAGGGCGCAGATCTGCAGGTGAGCCGGGAGAGCTAGTTACTAATTGCTAAGTAGACGATGAGCAAACTTTGTACGTGGGCTTGTCAAAGATTTGCTTGGAAGTTGGGGGAAAGCCTTACATTTGAAAGCTGTGTTCTTGCTAGGATGTTCTGGCTTACTAGACGAGCAGATAAACTAGTTCTGATTTACTAGATTTGTGTATTTACTAGGGCGTGCTCGGTTACTAGACAAACAGATTTACCAGTTCTGATCTATTAGATGTAGATTTACTAGGGTGTTCTGGGTTACTAGACATACAGATTTACTAGTTCTGATTTACTAGATCTAGTTCATTACCGTGATATATCGCATCACCGAATACGGCACAAGTCTACTAGACATACAGATTTACCAGTTCTGATCTATTAGATGTAGATTTAATAGGTTGTTCTGGGTTACTAGACATACATATTTACTAGTTCTGATTTACTAGATCTAGTTCTGTAGATTTACTAGGGTGTTCTGGGTTATTAGACAAACAGATTAACTAGTTCTGATTTACTAGATCTAGTTCTGTAGATTTACTAGGGTGTTCTGGGTTATTAGACAAACAGATTAACTAGTTCTGATTTACTAGATCTAGTTCTGTAGATTTACTAGGGTGTTCTGGGTTATTAGACAAACAGATTAACTAGTTCTGATTTACTAGATCTAGTTCTGTAGATTTACTAGGGTGTTCTGGGTTATTAGACAAACAGATTAACTAGTTCTGATTTACTAGATCTAGTTCTGTAGATTTACTAGGGTGTTCTGGGTTATTAGACAAACAGATTAACTAGTTCTGATTTACTAGATCTAGTTCTGTAGATTTACTAGGGTGTTCTGGGTTATTAGACAAACAGATTAACTAGTTCTGATTTACTAGATCTAGTTCTGTAGATTTACTAGGGTGTTCTGGGTTATTAGACAAACAGATTAACTAGTTCTGATTTACTAGATCTAGTTCTGTAGATTTACTAGGGTGTTCTGGGTTATTAGACAAACAGATTAACTAGTTTTGATTTACTAGATCTAGATCTGTATATTTACTATGGTGTTTTGGGTTACAAGACAAACAAATTGACTAGTTCTTATTTATAGTAACGTTACTCAATCTGTAGATTTTATTAGACAAACAGATTAACTAGTTCTGATTTACTAGATCTAGTTCTGTATATTTACTAGGGTGTTCTGGGTTACAAGACAAACAAATTGACTAGTTCTTATTTATAGTAACGTTACTCAATCTGTAGACTTACTAGGGTGTTCTGGGTTACTAAACAAACAGATTAACTAGTTCTGGTTTACTAGATCTAGATCTGTATATTTACTATGGTGTTTTGGGTTACAAGACATACAGATTTACTAGTTTTGATTTTCTAGATCTGTAGATTTAGGGTGTTCTGAGTTACTTACTACTACTAGACAAACAGATTAACTACTTCTAATTTACTAGATCTAAATTTACTAGGGTGTTCTGGTTTACTACATAAGGACAGCTTTATTAGTTCTGACTAGTTCAGGGTTATTAGACAAACAGATTAACTAGTTCTAATTTACTAGATCTGTAGATTTACTATGGTGTTTTGGGTTACAAGAAAAACAAACAGTAATTTTTTTAGCTATATCGCCCAGCCCTAGTGTGTTGTGTGTGTGTGCATCAATTAAAGCAGCGCATTTAATATAGAGCGGTGATATAGAACTGGCTTGGTACTACATGGAATAAATGAAAGTAAAATACTCTAAGAGCACAGCAGTGCATAGTATACCTGTTGTAGCACATTGTTTACTTTAAGAGTACATGTTATGTTTAATTTAAATGTAACATTTTTATTTTAATGTAAGACTGTTTTATTTATTTTAAATTTAAAGTAATTTACTTTCAAATGCCCCAAATACCATGGTACTAGGGATGTAACGGTATGAAAATTTCATATCACTGTTATAGTGAACAAAGTTATCACAATTATCAATATTATCACGGTTTTGTTCAAATTAGATGAAAACGTTCAAAAAGAACTGATACACACACTGAAAACATTTCAATAAGTTTTATATTTGAAAATCAACAAACAACAAATACAATTAGCAGCTATATGCACTTTTTTTTTAGCATAAACATTAAATTAACATTAACATGAAGCCCTAATAATAACAATAATAATAATAATAAATCACTATATATATATATATATATATGTACACACACATATTATATTGTCCTGACGATTGTTTTGTACACTGTTCATAATGAATTTATAAACAGGTAAGATTTCAAAACATTAATCTCTAAAAAACAAGTTTAATTTATTCTTACAATAGCCTTATGATTTTTTGCTCAGAAATTCTGTGTTGTGTATTTACATTTTTTAAGGCATAAACATTCATTTAATCTATCTTTTAAGTAATGAAAATTAAACAAATTTTATTTTTTGGAAAATAAAGGTAATTTAATATTACAATTAAAACATTGAAGAAATATTGTATGATTATTCCTTAAAAATAAGGTTTTAATAATTTTAGTAGTAGTAGTAGCAGCCTATTACGTACATTCTACTGAACAACAGTAATATATTTCCTATTTCCTAAAAGTTAAACCGAACTTTTATTTTGACGGGTTGCCGTGAATACCTTTACATTTCTGTGTGTATATGATATGAGGACAGTTTTACTCAAATGAAACGGTCAAATGCT